GCTTGAGTGTTAAATTCCCCTGTCCTGGCACAAGGGCACTGCATCAGGGTTTTCCCTCCTAAACCTCCAAGGTTCAATGCAAGCTGGCTACCTGGCAGTGCTCAGCAGGGCTGCCATGGCTTCTGCCTTCTCTGCCTTTTCCCTGGACCTGCCGATCCTCCTGGGCTCTGCAGTTCCTCCCGTGAGCTCCTTTCATCCTCTCTCATGCATGCACCACTTAGGCTCATTTCAGTCCCTGTGCATGAATTTGGAAAGCAGGGGACAGAGCAGTGAGGGAATTTGCCCCTGGTTTCACGGGCGGAGCAGGTCCAGAGAGGCGGAAGTGGCACGCCAGCTGGGGCAGGCCAGCTTCAGAGCCGGCTCTGTGCAGCAGCTCGCTCTGCAAGGGCTGGCGGTGAAGGGCGGAGAGCCAGTCACTTCAGAGCACGTGTCGTGGCTGGAAGCACCAGGTCTTGGGAGGATGCCACAACCCAAGGGGAGAGGGGCAGGGATACTGGTTCCCATGTCACTCTGTGTGCAGGTCGGACGTGGAGGCCACAGACACGGGCCTTTGTCTGAGACCAGACACCTCCCTGCTCTCTGCACCCAGCAGCTCAGGGCAGCGTCCACAGCAGGTCCACGGTGCTGGCTGCAGTCTGTTATTGAGCCAGGCCCCGAGGTACCCATTTTCTCCCCTGGCGTCCCCCATTCGCTGCTCTGCTGCCTTTAGGTGGGAAAGTGCAGAGGCCTTGCAGAGCTGGTCCCTACCCTCATGATGGCTCCTTTAACCAGGGAGAGAGGTGAGGCCCCTATCTTAGACTGTTGTGTGCTGCTCTGGCAAGCTACCACTGACTGGGTGATTTACAAAGAAGGAAATCTATGTCTCACTCGGCTGCATCCTGGGCTGTGTGAAATGAAGGCACCCATATGTGGTGTCTGTTGAGGGCCCTCTTGCTGTGTCCACTCGTGTTGGATGGCAGAAAGCAAAGCAAGGATGCATGTTTTGTCCTCTCGTGGCAGAAGATGGAAGGAGAGTGCCAACGCACTGCTGCAGGCCCTTTGGTTAGGGGTGTTAATTCATCCACGAGTGCAGAACCCCCATTAAATATGCACTTCCCATGAGGCTACACCTCCCAGTGCTGCTGCCCTGCAGGTTAAGTTTCTGTTTGAGTTGGATGGGAGCAAGATGCTGAGACCATAGCAGACACTCATGCTTTGGTTAGAAAACCTACAAGGGATCCCCGGCATGGCATGTATTGCCCAGGAGTGAAAAGTAGCAGGGTTAGAGGAAGTATACCTGGGGAGAGGGGTCTTGCCCAGAGAGGCCAGAGCTGCACTTAGAACCGAGGTCTGCCAGCAAATGCATGGAGAAAGTCTGGACAGGAGTCGTGGATGGGGACAGAATCCCCTCTGTATCCCCACCTCCAAGTTTCTACTACCGTGCCCATGCATGGGGTGTGTGTGTGTGTGTGTGTGTGAAGGGCTGCAGGGAACCTGGCAGTGATGCCTGAAACATCATAGTGTCCTGAGTTTCAGACGCGGAGCTGTAATCCCATCATGTCCACAGATGCCCAGCAGGTCCTTTCTAGTCATGACCTCAAACCAAATGCAGCAGCAGACAAGGAAGTGTTGGGACAGTGTGGGGTCATTTGAGCAGACCTAGAGCAAGGAAGGAAATTGAGAACATCTATTTTAAAATCTTCCCTCGGGTGACAGCCCAGACCCAGTTTCCTTTGTGGGTAAAGTCAGTCCACGTTCGTAGAAGAAATAATACTAGACCTTCCCCAACTATTTTGGGATGTGCAAGAAAGGGAACACGTGCCAACGTGTAGGGTGATAACAGTGCTACACGACCACTAAAGCCAGATAGACACGTCACAGTAATAGTGTAAGCCAAAGCAGATGATGAATACCGATGCCAACACCATCCACAATGTATTGGCAAACCAGATCCAGCATCGTACACATATGACCATCCAATGTGACCAAGTGAGACTGATCCTAGGACTGCAAGGTTAATTTCACCTTCAAAATTCAATGGCAGTAATTCAACATGTTAATAAAACAGAGAGTGGAATCACAGCACCATATTAATAGGCAAAGAAAAAGCATTACACAAATGCAAGACCCATTCATGATGAAACAGAACCTAGTTTCTTAAGTTTGTGCTGCAGTAGGCTAAGAGGCTGCTTGCAATGTAGCCATCCCATATTGAACACCGGATCAAGTTCTGGCTACACCATTTGCAACACAGCCTCCTGCTAAGATGCCTGGGAATGCAGCGCATAATGGCCCAAGTGTGTGGGTCCCTGCCTCCCATGTGGGAGACCAGGATGATGAAGTTTCTGGTTTCTGGCCTTGGGCTTACCCAGGCCAGCTGTCAGGCTATTTGAGGACTGAACCACTTGGAAAATTCCATCTCTCTCTCTCTCTCTCCCACTCCCACTCCCTCTCTGTAACAGGCATTTATGAGAAACCCCCAGATCATATCCTATTTGCTAGTGAAAGAATGAAAGCTTTCCACTTCAGATCCTGAGCAGGGGAACGGCATCTCCTCGTACCACATCTACCCTATGTCCCACTGCCGTCTCTAGCCAGTGCAGTCCTGTAACAGAAACTAATGGAAACGTGGAGAAATTGAAGGAAGGCGTATGTCCACACTAGTCACATGCTCAGATGTTCCTTGCCATGTTCATGGCGGGCGCAGACTAGAAACTACACGTCTGCCAGTCAGCACAGGAGTGAACTAAAGGTGTTATCTCCATAGGCAGAATATTCCAGAACGCTAAACAGAGCCTTCCTACTCATACCTGCCACAGAAGGGACAGAACCAGACACAGGAGGCACATATTGCAGGAGGCACTTTGGAGGAAAAGTACAGGAGGGCAAATCTACAGAGACGGGGAAGACCTCAGTAGTTGCCTGGGCTTCCAGGTGTCGTGGGGAGGGAGCACTGGCAGGAGCAAGGGGTCCTCAGGCGGGTGATGGAACTGGTGTTACACTGCTCTGTGCTGGTGGCTGCATCACTGCAGATTGTCTCAGTCACTGCGCTGTATCCTTAGTTGCATGAATACTATCGTGTGGTGATTGTACTTCCATAGAGCTCTTTTTATAATGTAATGCCTATGTGCACATAAGTCAGGGTTGGAGGCTACGGGATAGTTTTGTACGACAGTAAGGAATCTCCCCCTCTCTTTGCGGGTTCTGGGTCCTGCATCGTCCATGTGTTTGAAACTCCAGCCAGACACGGCCACTGTGCACCTCTGGGCAGAAGGCGTGCTGGTGAGTGCAGTCTCCATGTGTGTCTGTATGCATGCCCAGTCGTGAGTCTCCACCCATCAGTATTGGCTCACCAATCTGCTCCACGGGCAGGCTCCGGGACTCCATCCTGCATGCTCTATCCCAGTGCATGCTTGGCTGTTCATGAGTCTCAGGGGCCAGGTTTCAGTTTCCCTGGAAACCAGCCTCAGCCCTGAGCTTCATCAGAATGGGGAGGGCTGTCTTCTCACCCCAGAGGACCCTGGCCTGAGCTCAGCCAGCTAGCAGCAAGGAACAGCAGAGTGGTTACCAAGACAACGGGGTTCCAGATCCTTCCACCCCAGGAGGCCTTCTCTCTCCCATGGGGCCTACCTGGGTATCCAGTAGGAAAGGGGCAGTCGTGGCCTGAACACTGCCGAGTCCTGGAAATGATTCAAATACGACTGCAGGAGATAAGCAAGGCAAAGGCAGCTCGCGAAAGAGAGGTACCTCATACAAAACTTCCAAAATGCTAAACAGCAGACAGCTAAAACTGCAAGATGATATTTTAAAGCAACACAGGTACCGTGCTCCTGTGCGTATGTGTCTGAACCAGCCTGTGTGCACATCTGCCCTGGGGTGATTCTAAAGGACAGATACAGGGGTGCCCTCCCCACAGATTGGGGGCCAGGACTTGGCAACTCCGCCAGGCCATGCCTAGGCCTCGGCTGTGGACATGGACCTGCCCTGTTAGGACGCTGCTCCTGGAACATAAAAGCAGGGCTTTGTCATTGTGCTGGTGTGCTTTAGATCCTGCAGATAAAGTGTTGATGGTAGAAGCTCGTACTTGCTGATGAAACATAGCGCGCTGGCCTCTTCCAGAGAATTCCAGGGCATTCATGGAGTGCTAAGGGCAACCGTAGGAGTTTTAGGAATTGTGTGGGTGTCAGCACCACCCATGTCAGAAGGGACTCCGCTTTAGGGTCACCTGGTTACTTGAAGGCCTGTGGAATATGTGTGTGCAGATGCACATAAGATACCTAGCCCGTTGGGGCGTGGGGCTCAGCTGAGATTACCCCCGGAGAGTGGGTGGTCAGAGAACCCATCGGCATACAAGGCAGAAGGGTGAAATCAGGTCCTCTTGGTAAAAGGCCTGCGTGGTGCAGTGACCACCCAGGATCGGGAACAGGGTGAGGTTAGCCCAGGGCAAGGTTGGAAGCAAGAAGGAACCGAGATTGTAGACGGGAGCAAAGGAAAGTGACCAACGTGGAGACTGCAGAGGCATCGCTCAGAGGGGTAGAAGTGGGGCCAGGGACTGGCTGCCACAGACTCCGAGAAAGGTAAAGGCCTTGGAACGGGGTGTTGTCCACGTCCCGGGCAGCAAAGGGCACGTGGCTTCGGCAACGTGAATCTGCTTGGACATTTGAGCTGGGGAATGCTCCATGCAGGCGGGATGGGCTGGCGACTTTGAGCAGGCAGGGGAGGGTAGCACAGCAGTTTGGTCTCGCACGCTGCACTGGCAGGAACCCTGGCTGGACAGGTGTCACACAGACAGTGTGGTAGAAGCAGAGGGCGTGGACTCTCCACGCTGTGCCATCTCCTGTTCTGCTAAGTAACGGATGCACGTGCCAGCATTCCGAATTGATGCAGAGCAGACGGGGAGCTGGGAGGACCCTCACTGTGTTTCTCCCAAGGGGAGGTAGGCATAGTGGAGACTTTAGGCCGCGATGGAGTGGCAGGAAGGCTTGTGGCATCTCTGGGGTCCTCATTCCTGTCTCTGACACGCAGTGGTGTGGGTTTGGGGACGCCACATCTCCCACAGAAAAGAGCTACATGAGCAGTGTCAGGAGATCCCAGGGCCCACCTACCTCAGAACAGAGTGCAAAGCTGCAGGAGAGGTGGGAAGGTGTGGTAGTGGGGTGTAGCATCCTGTTGGGGAGCACGCACAAGCTCGTGATGAGCACAGTGCATGTGGGGGCTGGTGCTCCAGCGTGAGGCTGGGTCCTGACGCCTGCTGCTCTGGGCTCCTCTCCAGATGGAATGTCTGGCCCTGAGGATTCTCTGTCCAGGAGGATAGAGCAGAGGGAGGGATCAGAAGCTGGAAGTCGGTTTCCTCTTCTGTGGCCCTGGCCAGTCCGAGTTGCAAGTCTCAGGAAAAGGAAGCCTGGGCCATGAGCTGGGCCTGCACGTGTCCTGCCTGGTGGCAAGGAGGCCCAGCTATTAAGCCCTCAGGGCAGGCACGGAGAGGCTGAGCCATAAACCAGCGATCAGAACTCCCTTGTGAATGTGGACTCTGCTGAGCTCCTATATCAGACCCTCAGCGGGCCAGAAGGGGACCAGGACCGCAGGCGCAGGTGGGCCTAGGGAGGCCAGAGACCTAGGCACATCTGGAGGTCCAAGGAAACTTGGGCTTTCTGCGTTTTCTCCAGGTGCCCTCTTCTGCTCTGGAAACACCGCCTGCGGTGGCCTGGCGGCTGAGACCCTGGCAGTGCGGTCTGTGTGGTTAAGCATCGCCTGGGGAGGCGGTGACTGGCCCCAGCAGGCTGTGTCCACCTCAGTGGAAACCCTCATCCCTGCCTCCCCTCGGCCTGTCTGCCAGTCTGTGCTGTGTCTTCAAAGCCCCATCCCGAGGGAATGAAACAGCGCCTGGTTAAAGAGAACAAGAGGCAAGGAGGCTTCATTCCTCCCCGGGGGCAGAGACTGAGAAAAGGGGGGCAGAGGAGGAGCCGCTGTTGAGGGAGCGCAGAGACCACAGATGCACTGGGGCCTCTGGGTGTGAGCAGCTCAGGGAATTCCCGCCAGATGCCTCCCTCTCCAGGAATCATCAGGGAGGTGGTGGAGGGGTGCAGGGCGACTGGCTGTGCACTGTGGCCGTGGTGCGGGAAGCCACAAGCCAACCGCTCATGGTCACGGACAGAGACTAGACTATTCAGTCAGGCTCTCAGGTATCGGTCTGGGAGGTTCGGGCGGGCTGGCAGCGGGTGCGGAACTTGCCCCCTCAGGCCCTTCGGTTAGCAACTCGCAACCCCGCTGCAAATCCCCCTTCAGGGAGATGGAATGGAATGGACCTCAGCGGCTGCCTACGCGCAGGCCCGGAACCCGCCAATCCGCGTGTAGTCCGGTCGCCCCGGGGCGGGGCTTCGCTGTGGCGCTGCGGCTTCCGGCGGCCGTTGCCATGGTTCCCAGGGCGGTAGCCCGGAGGTCTCCGCGGAGACCCAGGGCTTTGGGGCCGATGCCTTTTGGTCCGTGCCAGTGCCTCGTCTTCTTTTCGATTTCGTCGCGATCGGCTGCACCGTGCAGGACCTCCAGGCCTCTAGGAGAGCGGCTGTGGAAGAGACGGGTTTCTGTGCTGTTGGCGGCTCTCAGTCTCCGTGGACGGCAGATGGCAGTGTGGGCTCGCGCAGCGCCTCGGTCCCGGTCTCCCCGCCCTTCGTGCTGGAAAAAAACGCGGCCGAGGTGGTTTTTAGGCCGCGGGATTTTCTGTGGGTTTTCTCCGCGGGAGACGGGGTGCAGAATTCACGCGCCCCGGTGTGCCACGTCCGCACCGCAGACTCCCTCTCTGGCAACAAAGCCACTCGCTTTGTTTCTGGACTTTGAAAAATTACTTACGCTCTCTTCCTTAAAATGGTGTTGATTAACTTCTCCTTTGTTTCCAACTTCCAGCGGGTGAGTGGGCCTGGGTTCCCTTTGAACTTGGCTTTCCTGCAAAGTCGTCTTCCTCCTTCTCAGATTGATTGGGGGCGGCGCCTCGGCGAGCGCGTCTGTCCTTCGTGCAGTCCCTGGGCTCCCTGTAGCAACGCAGAGACCACTGAGAGTTAGGAAAGCCCGTCCCACCCACGCTGCCATCGCCTTTGATTCTGCATTTGTGGCACTTCCCTCACAGGTCTTTCATCCCTGAGGGAGCATTTGAAACCTAGTAGGCTCCTGTTCTCCTCTTGACCCCTCTGTTTAAAGCTGGGCTTCCCTGCCAGAAAAATGCTCCTTCTATTCAGTCCTTTTCGTCGAAAATGATTTCCACGACGTCGAGAGTTTCTGTAACGAATCCGAAATACACTTCCTCCTTATCTGAGACCACTGTGCTGTCTTTGGAGCGCGGGAGCTGTGACCCGTGTTCCTTTCCCAGCCTAATCCCGAGCACCCAGCGCCCAGGGGACCTAGGACGCAGTGGGGGCCGGGTAGACGCCCTGAAACAAGGTTGAGCTCCCATTTCCGCCTGTGCTGCCTAAAATATGTAAGGTCAGTCTTTCCACGGCCCTGGATTACAGGGTAGCCAGGGTGTTCAGAGGGTCCTTTATCCTTGGGCGTGAGGGGCTCAGCCTTTGCCTGTGTCACTAAGTGTTCTGTGAAATCCATTGCGGGCAGCAGATCAGCTCACTCACTGAAGCTCCTTGGGCCGTGGCTTCCAGACTCAGGCCAGAGCCCAGAGTCTGCAGGTTCAACACCTTTTGGTTTTCATCCATAAAACCTCACCGAGGTTTAGGGGATGAAATGAAGCGAACATTTCCTTGGTAGCTGGTGTGGATCTCCTTTGTGTCCCAAAGGACCGTCAGCGTATCATTGGCTGATAGGACACTGCCCTCACTGAACTCAGTGCACGGAGCTGAGATGCTGGGCGGGGCTTTGGGATTAGTGGTTACACTCAGCTGAGTACCCGTGTGTCCCATGTCAGAGCGCCTGGCTTGGACCCTGGCTCTGCTCCTGATTCCAGCTTCCTGCCACGTCCTCCCGAAGAGGCAGGTGAAGGCTCAAGTGGTCGGTTCCCTGCCATCCCTGTGGGAAACCCGTATGGAGTGTGGGGCGCATGGCATCGGCCTGGTCCTATGCTGTCTATTGTGGGCATCTGGGGAGTGCTGCCGAGGATGGGAGCTGTCCTTCTGCCTCCCCGGTAACTCAGTTAACAAACAGAGACTGTGCAAGGCATGTGATGGTTATTGGGTGCAGGGGTGAAAAGCTGCAGTGAACCTTAGTTCCCTGAGGTGATTCAGGTCATGTAATGATGTGTGGGGAGTGTGAGGAAAAATGACCTGAGGAGCTGCTGAAACAGCTTCCTTACTGGAAAGGCGTCTGGGTGGGGGAGCAGGTGTTCAGGGGGCTCCTGCCGCAGGCTCTCCTGGAGGCCTGGTGATATCAGAATATGGGGTGCCATACCATAGCACCATGTGCTTATTAACAAATTCCCAGTATTAGTACGTCTGTGTGGGCTCTTGCCTAATAATCAGAGAAGAATTCTGAATACTGGCACAAATGAACAAGGCAGCATGATACGTTTTTAAGCTTTTATTCAGTGAGAAAGATGCAGAGGAGAGCGAGGGCCCTATGTAAAAGAGAAGTCTGGGTTCATACCAAGCACCAAGGGCCAACCACGTGGAGGAGCATCTAGGCCAGGAAGCATGGGGCAGGTGGCCCCAAGGCCATGCGTCCTGGAGGCCCAGGGAGCACGGGCCCCACGGGCAAAATGCTGAAAAGGAAAGTGCCAGAAAATGAGGAGCCCACCATGTCCCAGGCCTTTAATCCACTTTCAAAGCAGAGTGGTTAATTAACCTGATTGGCCGGTGGGTGCCCAGGTGTGGTCAGGTAGAGGCATGAGGTCACACAGGGCGTGGTAAGGCATAGTCTTCCAGCTCACAAACCTGATCAATTTTATCCTGTATGCCTGCTACCTCACTGGGACCAGGGCTCCAGAGACAGTCCCTCCCAGTTGCAGCTCTGCCAGCCTTGCTCCTGGTCCCCAGTTGCTGTGGGCCCGCGCACCTGCCATTGGTCCTGGGGCAGGATAGCAGCATGCAGGGCAGTGGGCTGTGACAGCCCTGGGAACCAGGCTGCAGATGCAGCCTCCTTTTCTGAGAAACTGAGATTTTCCTTTTATTTATTTATTTATTTATTTTCATTTTAAACGCTGCAACAGCCCAGGTTGAGCCAGGACAATGCCAGGAGCCTGCAGCTCCCACCAGGTGTCCCAGCTGGGTGGCAGGGTCCAAGTCTTGGTGAGATGTTGCACCTGCTTCCCAGGTGCCTTAGCAGGAAGAAGAGCTGTGCAGAAATTAAAAAACAAAAGTGTGTTTATTGGTATTTGAAAGCTGATGTACTGAGAGACTTTGCATCTGCAGGCCCATCCCTAAGCAGTTACACCACAGCAGGGAACATCAGGAAAGTGAAAGGGACAGAGCTCTTGGCCACAGGAGCGTTTTCTTTTTAAAGAAGTTCTCTTTGAGATGCGGGCCACGGGTTATCTCTGTTCCCCAAGTTCCCTACTGAATCACTTTTGTAAAAATTTAGGGCCGGCGCCGCGGCTCACTAGGCTAATCCTCCGCCTAGCGGCGCCGGCACACCGGGTTCTAGTCCCAGTCGGGGCGCCGGATTCTGTCCCGGTTGCCCCTCTTCCAGGCCAGCTCTCTGCTGTGGCCAGGGAGTGCAGTGGAGGAAGGCCCAGGTGCTTGGGCCCTGCACCCCATGGGAGACCAGGAAAAGCACCTGGCTCCTGGCTCCTGCCATCGGATCAGCGCGGTGCGCCGGCCGCAGCGCGCCGGCCGCGGCGGCCATTGGAGGGTGAACCAATGGCAAAGGAAGACCTTTCTCTCTGTCTCTCTCTCTCACTGTCCACTCTGCCTGTCAAAAAAAAAAAAATTTACTTTTTAGGGACTACCAATTTCCTAAGTAGGGCTTTAGGAACAGTTATTATTCCCACCAGACCTGCCCTCCCACCCCTGCTCCTCTTCCCTCTCCCCTTCCCAGGCCCATTCTCCATTAAGATTCATTCTCTATTAACTTTGTACACAGAAGACCAACTCTACACTAGGCAAAGATTCCAGCAGCTTGCTGAATCATTTTCGACCCGAATACACTCCGCACTGCTTTAGGAAGAGAAGTGAAAACGAACGGTTTGCATCTTTTTCAAATGGTTTGTAGGAAAGGCTGAATACCCCTGGGTGTTTTTAAAAGGAGTTAAAGCAGACACCGCACAGGTGACTCAGTACCCGCTGCTTTAGGCTGGAGAAACCTCGCAGGAAATAAACGCAAAATGTAACAGTGCCGCTGGGGGCACGGGCCAGGCAGAAATGGCTTTCTGCACAGAACCTGGCTCTCTGGCTGTCTGACGGGGCGGGTCAGGGAGCAGCACCAAGGCTGAATAGATGCAAATGGGTCCCTGAACCCCAGGATGACCTGCAGCACGGAAAGACCGGAGCTGTGGGGGAGCCGAGAGTGCGCGCTGCTCAGGTGCCCGGGCCTCGCCACAGGAAAACGCGGGTTACAGAGCGGAGAACCCGCACGTGTGCTCGCACTGGTGCAGTCTTGCTGGGATGCCCCAGGAGGCTGTCTACCCTCACCCAGTCACTGGCGGACTGGAAGGAGGACGCCCTGAACTGCTGCGCGGCACGGCTGCTGCGCACTTTTTTGAACCACGAAGGGCGGGGTAGGAGGGGGCTGGATCGCTGCTGCGGCGCCACACTGCCATCTAGCGGCCAGAGAAACTGCGGCCTGCGGATGCACGGCCACAGCCACCTTCGCCGCCATTTTCTAACCGAGGCTAAGGGGTTCTGGACAGGGACGCTGAGCAGGGACGAAGGACAACAAAAGGCCCCGAAAACCCGTCCCCGACGCGGAAGTAGACCCGAGCCTGCCTCCGTAGCAAAAGGCAGTTGAAAGGGGCTGCCTCGCGGGAGGTCCCGGCCCCTGGGAGCAGACCACCACCACACTGTGGGGTTCCGCGTCTGTGCGTGGCCAGCCAGGGCGCCCAGGGTCCGTCTTCCTCCCCAAGGGGCCCTGCAGGCTCCCTGGGCCGGCTACTGCGAGCTGGGCGCCCGGGGAAGGGAGGAGGATGCCCGGGACCGGCTGCTGCACCGCCCCAGCCGCACCACGCTGCAGCCCCGTACCCGGAAGTCTTCCGGGAGCCTTTGCTCTCTGTCCCTGGCCCTTAGAGGCTGCTCCAGCCCTCCTGGGAGCCCCTCTCTGCTTCCCTGCCACAGCTTCCTTCCCTGAGCTGTCCCACGGAGCGCGTCCATCCCTGCCTGGCCTGCGCTCCTCCCCTCTGCTGTGAGGCTGCAGCAGAGCCTCTTGGCCTGGTCTTTCATATGGACGAAGATGAGCCATACTAGGTCCCCTGCAAAGACACACGCTGGAATGTGCAGTTTGTCGGGACGTGCAGAGTATTCTGTGTGTGAATGTGTGAAAGAGAAATGAGAAAAGCTGGAATGCGCAGATGCACAAGGTGCCCACGACGTAGACTCAGCCGTGCAAGGGAACTACCCGTCGTGACAGGCCGTGGGCCAGGCCTAGTGGCCCTGTGATCGCGGGTTCCCTGCCCTGCTGGGCTGACTCTATTACAGGGAAGGGAAACCCCTGGTCTCACTGGTAGTTTTGTTCTGAAGGTGGAGGCTCTCCGTTTCTCTGACCGCTAGATGGCAGTGTGGCTTCAGGCAGGTCCTTGGCACTCATATCCCCCGCCCTTCGTGCTTGAAAAAAATGCAGTAAGCTCCATTTTAGCACACATTCAGGAAGTGGGGAATTTTGTACTTTCTGAAGAAAGTGAAATTCTCAATCCACAATTGAAAAGCCGCATCATCTGGGGGAAATAACTTCATTACCTGTAAAAAAAAAAAAAAACGTTTTTTCCCTTTGTTTAAAACATCATTTTTTTTTCATTTTCTTTCTCCTTGGAACCAACTAAATCTTTTTATTTTTTTCAATTTTTAAATATTTATTGATATATTTGAAAGTCAGAGTTACACAGAGAGAGGAGAGGCAGAGAGAGAGAATCTTTCATCCCCTGGTTCACTCCCCAATTGGCCCCAAGGGCTGGAGCTGCACTGATCCGAAGCAGGAGCCAGGAGCTTCTTCCAGGTCTCCCACGTGGGTGCAGGGGCCCAAGGACTTGTGCCATCTTCTGCATTCGCAGGCCATAGCACAGAGCAGGATCAGAAGTGGAGCAGCCAGGACTAGAACCACTGTCTATGTGGGATGTTGGCACTGCAGTTGGCAGCTTTACCCACTATGCCACAGTGTCAGCCCCACCCACTGAATCTTTGTGGAATTTTTGTGAGTCCTCTATGCAACCCCAAACAGCAGACAGGGAAGAATACAGCCATACACTTGAAGCCAGGGAAGGGTAGGGAGCTGACATTGGAGGGTTGCAAGTTCAGGCGAGACAGAGGGACACAGGTGAGGAGCAGGGCTACAGGCCAGGCAGAAAGCAGGGGATTTTAGTCAGCACTTTCCTGTAACATCCAGCAGGGAGGGCCCTTCTTTGCTAAGAGGATCCTTCCTGTGGCCACAGGTTCTCAGACTGGACTGAAAGTGCAGTCCTTGTGAGCAGTGGCCATCACAAAAGCAGGACAAGGCTGGGGTGCAGCAAAGACAGTTTCCTCTACCGGGGTAAGGACAAGGGCAGACTTGGGCCTGCAGAACCACTGTCCTGCTCAGTGAGGACACGCTGAGCTTTTCTTCTCTTTTCCTTTATTTAGCTCTTATCATTTGCCACAGAATTAGAGGGAAAAAGAGAGGAGAGAGACCTTCCATCTGCCCATTCACTCCACAATGGCTGCAACAGCCCCAGCTGACCTGATCCACAGCCAGGAGCCAGGAGCTTCCTCCAGGACTCCCATGCGGGTGCAGGAGCTCAAGCACTTAGGCCATCTTCTACTGCTTTCCCAAGCCATAGCAGAGAGCTGGATCAGAAATGGAGCAGCTGGGACTCGAACCAGCGCCCATGCGGGATGCTGGCGCCACAAGCAGAAGCTTAACCCACTACAACACAGTGCCA